GAGCACCCCCAGAGCCGGCACCTGTAGTCCCAGGGTCTCCTGTCGAAGTGTCCCCAGCAGCAACACCCCCAGACTCAGCACCAGCTCTAGCAGCACCGTCAGCACCTGCACCTCCAGCTCCAGCAGCACTCGCTCCTCCAGTAGCTCCAGCAGCACCTCCAGGCCCAGCAGCTCCAGCACCTCCAGCGCCAACCCCAGGGTCGGCAGCCACACCAGCACCAGGAGCTCCAGCGCCCTCAGCTCCAGTGTCAACAGTACTCCCAGCTCCCACAGTACCACTGTGGCGGCGGCAGTACCGAGAGTACCACTCACGCAGCTCCAAGGAAGAAAGAGTGCCTCTAGGCGCAGCACCCCCAGGCTCAGTAACCCCAGGCACAGCACCCCCAGGCTCAGTACCCCCAGTGTCAGCACCCCCAGGCGCAGCACCCCCAGTGTCAGCACCCTCAGGCCCAGCACCCCCAGCGGCAGCACCCCCAGGCTCAGCACCCCCAGTCTCCACACCCCCAGGCTCAGCACCCCCAGTCTCGGTACCACCAGACCCAGCACCACCAGGCTCGGCACGCTCAGGCTCAGTACCTCGCGGAGTGAGGAAGAGCGGCGGAGGGGGGAGCGGGGCAGTGCGGTAGGGGAAGAGACGGTAGAAGGGGACCGACTCGTCAAACGTGACGTCCTGAGAAGGGAAGACACGGCGCGAGGCAGGGTGGTAAAACTGCCAGCCAGACGCGTCAGGGACAAAGCCAAGGAAGACACAGGAGAGGGTACGGGAGGAGAGCTTGTCCGCGGACGCATCGCGGACAAAGGCACGAGATCCCCAGACTCGAAACACCGACGCATCGCCAACCTCTCCCGTCCAACGCAGTGTCGGCGAGGTGTCCGGGTCAGAGACACGGGGCCAGAGGTTGAGCTGATGCGCGGCGTACCGTACCGCAAACGGCCACAGAAAGTGGGGGGCAGCCGCATGGACCAAGGAGGTACGAGCGACCTCCATGACCAAGCCAATGCGGCGCTCAGCAACCCCATTCTGCTGCGGAGAGGCCGGAAGCGTGAACGTCTGCTCAATGCCCTCCCCCTGACAGAAGGCTCTCAAGAGGTCGGAGGAAAACTCACCACCTCTATCAGAGTGCAGTCGCAGGACTGGAAGGTCCGAGCGAAAGCGCCTCTCCAGCTGGAGACGGGTAGTGCGGATCCAAGGGATCAAGACATCAGGGACCTCACCCTTGGTGCGCAAGGGGAAGACCGTGGTGTAACGCGTGTAGTCGTCAACTACCAGCAGAAAGTAGCGCTCCCCGCCCTGTCCACGGACGCGGGCGGGGCCCCACACGTCCATGTGGAGTGTCTGCAGAGGAGCCTCTGTCGGGGGAAACTCGGAGGAGTGAGGAGCGGCGCGCTGCCGCCCCTCGACACAGGGAAGACAGGGAGGCGCAGGCGAGGGTGGGAGGGGAGGGAGAACCCGGGGAAGACCAGAGACAAGGAGGCGACGGTGCATGCCGCGAAGGCGCTGCACTGACGGGTGACCAAGGCGGTGGTGCCAGAGGACAGTCTGGTGGGACAGGGAGCGACACAAGCAGGGGGCCGACAGCTGACCTGACGCAGACGCAGACGCAGCGACCTGAGGGGACTCAGTGGTTAGTGTGTACAAGTCCGACCCCGGCTCCCTAGTGAAGGTAGCAAGGTGGCGACCCGTCCGGGCACACGTACAGTGGGTCACACGCTCATAGGCAGGGGTGAACTGGTGAACACCCCCGTCCTGTAGAGCAGAGCCCGCCACCAAGTTCGTAGAGAACGAGGGGAGGTAAAGACCTGACAGGGTGCCAGACGGGACCGCAGGACACGGGAGGACAGTGGAGGAGGTCGCAAGAACCGGACCCCCGGAGGGGTCAGCCAGGGAGACAGCAACCGGTCTAGGAAGCTGCTCGAGGGCAGTGCGGTCGCGAAAGAAACAGCGGGAAGCACCTGAGTCCAGGGTGAAGGTGTGCAGTGCCGCAGTAGACGCTGTACCTGAAGGCGCAGTCTCACAAGCACCTGGGGCAGCAGACACACCTGCACCTAGAGCAGTTGTCTCACCAGGACCTGGGGCAGCGGACGCACTAGCACCTAGAGCGGCAGCCTCACTGGTCGCAATGCCTGGGTCTGGTGGCACACACAAGTAACAGTCACCCTCAACACTAATAGTCAATGCATACATGGCTCCAAGAATAACATCAAAGTCAAGTGCAAATACATCAATGTTCTTTTTAAGCAGATCAGCCCAGCGGGGCAGCTCAGAGGCCTCCGGGAACTGTGCACGCCAGGCATCGTCTAGACGAAAGAAGCAGCGGTGCGGCGTGTGGAAACGCCCACACGTCTGACCAGCGCGGTCACCGGTGCGGATGACATACGTGCAGGTGCCTCCACCCCCAGACCCCCCATGCTGAGAGTACCACTCACGAAGCTGCTGGGACGACGGGGTCTCTCCAAGACGCTGCTGCTGGCGCTGGGCACCACCCGAGCCTCCACGCTGCGCTGGTCCACCCCGACCACCACCCGAGCCGCCGCCACCACGCCCACTGCCGCCACCACCACCACCTCCACCCCGGCCTCCCCCACCACCACTGCCGCCACCACCCCCGCCGCTGCCACCCCCGCCGCTGCCACCTCCGCCGCTGCCACTGACCCCCCCAGCCCCGCCACCACCCCCACCACCGCCACCACCCCCACCGCCTCCACCTCCACCGCCACCCCCACCTCCCCCACTGGTACCGCCGCCACCCTTGCCCCCCTTGCCCTTGCCGCTCTTGCGCCTCCAGCTAGGAGCAGACGCAGCCCCGACGTCCTCAGCACCGAGGAAGTCGACAGCGGCAGCAGAGGCAACCGAGGGGAGAAGGGGGGAAGGGGAACACCCGTCGAAGAAGGGCGTGCGGGGGTCGCCACGAGAGGCACCTACAGCAACTATACTAGCCTCAGCTGCAAGCAGATGCTTCTCGAGCAGGTCAATGGTGAGCTCGGTAGGGCAGAGGGCGAGAAAGTGGTCCCTGACTGCGCGAAGAGAGTCAGGGAGACGGGTGACTAGGTGGTAGAGAACGAGGTACATCGGTGGGGGGTTCTTGGCGAGAAACTCAGCAGGGAGGGCGGCTCGGAAGCGAGTGTCACTGGTGCGGAGGTGTGTAATGAGGTCAGCGACTGTGGGAAAGGCGGCGAGATCGGGGAAAAGATAGGGCAGAGAGAGACGGCCTATCGTAGCGGAGGCAGGTGAGGAGTAGCGGGCGACTACTGCATCGTACAGCTCCTTAGCAGTCTTGTGCTGGCCAAAGTGCGCGCGCTCATCTAACGGCAGGTGGCTGCGAATGGCTAGGCGAGCGTGGGCGTCACGAGTCTGCCACTGGGAGCGAGCTGTACTGTCAGCAGTGTCAGCAGGTGCGAGAGCGGTTCCGGACGCGTGGTCATACAGCGAGACGTCATCCTTAGCGGTGATCTGGAGGAAAAGGTGGAGATCGTCAAGCCAAGCATCAAACTGGAGCGGACGGCCCTCAGCATCGAAAGAGAGAACTGTGGGTGTAGCCATAGTGGCAGTAGCAGCAGTAAGAGCAGTAGTAGGAACAACTGTAGTGAGAAGAACAGCTGTAACAGCAGGAACAGGGACAGTAGGTGCTGCAAAACCCTAAACCCTAAACAGTAGGCTCAGTCAGGGCGGCGCGGCTCGGGCAGGTAGGGCAGCGCAACGGCGGGCCTATGCACGGTGCGCGGCGGCGCCTAGGGTTGCAGTTGCGTGCAGGCCGCGGCTGGGGTCCTGCTGCAGCTAAGCACGAGCTGCAGCTAAGCGCGAGCTGCAGCTAAGCGCGAGCTGCAGCAGCCGACGCGCGATCGCCACTGCGCGCGGGCTGCGACCTGCGGGCGGGCGGCGGCGTTACGAGCGCCGTCCTAGGGGCGAGCGGTCGGGCGTGGGCTGCACTCGCGCGCAGGCAGCGGCTACGAAAGCAGGGGCGGCGGCCTACGGGCGACGCGAAGCCCTACGGGCGGGCCGACGGGCGGCTAGCGACCTGCTCGTGGGCGGATCGAGCCGCGCGAGCGGCCTATGGTCGTCGCGCACGCGATTCGGGCCGCGCGCAGGCTGCTAGCGGGCAAAAAACGAGGCCGCGCGCGGGCAAAAAGGGGGCCGCGCGCGGTCGTCTAGCGGGCTACGCGACCAGGAAACGAGGCGCGCGAGGGCGCACGAAAGGAAGAAGGCGCTCGAGGGCGCTAGCGGAAGGGCGGGCCCTTAGTACAAGGTGGTCCTAGGTTCCTAACCTAGGCTTCTGATGCCATGTTAGAATGAGAAGAGTATGTGTGATTAGGTGGAGGTTGGGGTACAAGACTAGAGTGTCGAGTGAGTTTGTGTACCCCTTAAGGCTAGCCCCAATATAGCCTAGATACTAACATGCATATGTTTTGACATTGTCAGCATGCAGCTGCATCCACCCCGACAGCACCATCTTGTTGCGCTCTGCAATCCAACACTCAAAACTCGTAATACGGTAGTATGTACAAGAGTGAAGGGCCTACAAGCGTGGCCTGGGGGAGCCATCATTGCCCATGGCCTCTCTGCCTGTCCCTGCATTGTCAGCATGCAGCTGCATCCACCCCGACAGCACCATCTTGTTGCGCTCTGCAATCCAACACTCAAAACTCGTAATACGGTAGTATGTACAAGAGTGAAGGGCCTACAAGCGTGGCCTGGGGGAGCCATCATTGCCCATGGCCTCTCTGCCTGTCCCTGCATTGTCAGCATGCAGCTGCATCCACCCCGACAGCACCATCTTGTTGCGCTCTGCAATCCAACACTCAAAACTCGTAATACGGTAGTATGTACAAGAGTGAAGGGCCTACAAGCGTGGCCTGGGGGAGCCATCATTGCCCATGGCCTCTCTGCCTGTCCCTGCATTGTCAGCATGCAGCTGCATCCACCCCGACAGCACCATCTTGTTGCGCTCTGCAATCCAACACTCAAAACTCGTAATACGGTAGTATGTACAAGAGTGAAGGGCCTACAAGCGTGGCCTGGGGGAGCCATCATTGCCCATGGCCTCTCTGCCTGTCCCTGCATTGTCAGCATGCAGCTGCATCCACCCCGACAGCACCATCTTGTTGCGCTCTGCAATCCAACACTCAAAACTCACCCGCCTCAACGGCTGCTCTCCCATACCCTGCATTCCCAAACCTGCTGACTCTTCTTCCGCTGCTGCGCTTGATGCTGGTATGAAGACCGGCTGCCAGGTTCGCGTGATGAGGGTCTCGCCGGGGAACACATGCCCCGTGAACCGAACCTGCACGCTGTGAAAGAGGCTCGGGTCGCCGCAGCAGCAGGTTCGGAGGATGGCTCGGGTGGCGAAGCCAAGCGTGCAGAGGCCATGCAGGATCGGGCGAGGATAGCTGGAGAGAGGGATTGAGGTTTGGGAGGAAACATAGGGGAAGGAGGTAGGGTCGATGGAGACAGGAAGACAATGCAAAAATAAGGGATATGGGAGATGGATAGAATCAAAGCTCTAGAGCAAAGGCATGGTATGGTCTTAATGAGACAGTAGGTATCAATGTCTGATGGGAATGGTGGAAAGAAGAGTAGGGCTAGTTACCCTGCAGTGGCGGCGAATTCAGGGTCGGAGTGGAGGGGATTGAGGTCCCCACAGAGGCGGTACAGCAGCGCCTGATTGGGCGGGATGCACTCCTGTGTTGCTGCGTGGGGTGGCGGGCGAGCGGATGGCTGCTGTCTGGTGGCTGCTGCACTGCCCCGTGCTGGCTGTGGTTGTGGTGGTTGCTGCTGTGGTGGAGATGGGTTCGTGGAGGTGGAGGTAGGTTTGGAGGAGAAGCCCCCGGCACCGCGTAGCACAATGGATGACCTGATGGGGTTGTGGCATGGCATGGCATCGCATGGCAAGGCATGGCATGACATGGCAAGGCATGGCATGACATGGCAAGGCATGGCATGACATGGCAAGGCATGGCAAGGCATGGCATGGCATGGCAAGGCATGGCATGGCATGGCATGGCATGTCATGGCATGGAATGGCATGGCTTGGCATGGCATGGCAAGGCACAGGGATAGACTTGAAGATGAGAAGGCTGAAAGGGAATGGCGCAGGCGGGTGCAGGCACATGGAAGGCTATGATACGACATGTATCCCACAGTCGAGCAACGTCTCACACTCACCTGTTGGCCGCCAGCCTGGCTCCTGACTCGCGGTCGAATGACACCGTCTCCACATCCACTATGGCCGCCCCGCCCTTGTCCTTCAGGGCTGAGATGCGCGCCCGATTTACCACCTGCCGTGGGGTGAGTGAGGTTGCAAGACACACAAAGGGCGACAAACACACATGCTGGGTGCTGCGGCATGGTCGGTAGAGACAGTCTCCATGCCCAGTATGGCCGCCCTGCCCTGGTCCTTCAGAGCTGATATGCACGCTCGATTCACCACCTGCCGCGTGGGGTGACCACCGAGAGGCAGACAATGGGCGAGAACAGGTGTACAGGTGAGTACTTGCTTTCGCGCCCTGGTCCTTCAGCGATGATATGCGCCCGCGATTCAGCACCTGCCGTGGGGAGAGGTTGCGAGACACACAAAGGGCAAGAAACATGGCTGAGAGTGGATGATCAGGAATCGGAGGTGGATGGCGGTGAGATGAGAAGTAGTATGGTTGGCAGATGGTGGTGAGGCGAGAATAATGCCTGGCTTCCTTAGCCTTGTGTGATGCACTATCGAAGAAAGGAAAGGCTGCAAGGGCTATATGGGAACTTGGGGGACGTGGTTGGTGCTCACCTTGGCGGTGGTGGGCAGGGGGGGCAAGAGAGGTGCAGAGCTTTTGGGACGTCTCAAAAGTGGTTTACCTTGGCGGTGGTGGGCAGGGGCCGAAAGAGACGCAAGTACTGCTCCCCGTGCAGCAGTAGAGCAGGATCGAAGCTGGGGGGCGGGAGAAGAGGGAGGAAGGGTGTATGATTATGCAACACTCATGGTCTCGTCTCATAGCCCCTCCCCATCCACTCACACGAGGCCGTCAGCGGCGAGGGTTTGTTCGATGAGGGAGGAGGGGAAGGCGTGGGGCATAGAGAGGGGAGTAAGAGCATAAGGAGGTTGGGTTACCAGCATGGCACCATGCCATTCATCCACTCACACGAGGCCGTCGACGGCAAGGAATTGCTCGATGAGGGAGGAGGGGAAGGATGTGGGGCACGGAGAGAGGAGCAAGAGAAGAATGGGCAAAATGTCGTTACCAACATGGTTCCATCCCATCCACTCACACGCGCCCACCCACTCACACGAGCCCACCCACTCACACGAGCCCACCCACTCACACGAGCACACCCACTCACACGAGCCCACCCACTCACACGAACCCACCCACTCACACGAGCCCACCCACTCACACGAGCCCACCCACTCACGCGAGCCCACCCACTCACACGAGCCCACCCACTCACACGAGCCCACCCACTCACACGAGCCCACCCACTCACACGAGCCCACCCACTCACACGAGCCCACCCACTCACACGAGCCCACCCACTCACACGAGCCCACCCACTCACACGAGCCCACCCACTCACACGAGCCCACCCACTCACACGAGCCCACCCACTCACACGAGCCCACCCACTCACACGAGCCCACCCACTCACACGAGCCCACCCACTCACACGAGCCCACCCACTCACACGAGTCCATGCACTCACACGAGTCCATGCACTCACACGAGCCCATCGACGGCAAGCAGTTGCTCAATGAGGGAGGAGGGGAAGAGAACCGCGAAGGTGGGGAGGGCCTGTGGTGTGAGAGGTGGCGCAAGGAGGAGGGAGGGACATGAGGGGTGAGGAGAGAGGATAATGGGGGTAATGAGTTAACGAGGTGCTAAGGGCATGCCATGTCATCCTGCAACGCGTGTGACCTGGTAAGACACATCATGGATTAGGCGTGGCACAATTTAGTGACGGAAACGAGTGTCACAAAGAAAATGATTGCGGTACATGGGGGTGTAGTGTGATTTGGACAGGTGGCTTCAAGTGGCTGTGGTCATGGTGGTGTGGTGCCGATTTCCCAAATAACGGCGGTTGTGGTTGTGTGGTGCTTACCAAGAATCGATCCTGGAAGAGGTGATTATAGGCGAAGGGCAGGTCGATAGAATCACACGCGTCAGACGAGCATGCCCCAACGCCCAACGCGTATAGTGCCACGTCCCTGCCAGCCAGCACATACAAAACGACACGCCATGCCACACATTCACAGGGAGGGAGGGACACGCATCCCCGGCACCGATGTAGGGGTTGGCAATGCCACACGTACACAGCAGCGAGTGTCACATACAGGACAAGCCATGCCACACGCACACACGCACGCACGCACGCACGCACGCACACACGCAGAGAGACAGTAATTGGCAAGGCACAACGAAACCGCCAAGAAGTATGAGGTTTTGAAACCGCACAGCCACCTCTTCCCCGCCCTTCTCCCACGCGATGTTCCGCCCCCTCTCCTTTACCCCACCCTCTCCCCCACCCTTTCCCCCATTGCCTTCCGCTTACTTCTCAGAGTACTCATATTCCGTCTGGAAGACGTCCCGGGTATAGCGGCGGCGCATGGGGCCCAATAGAAGCCATCCACGTGTGCACGCGCGGCGGTTGGCAAGCGACGACAGGGAGAGGGGGGTGAACGGAAATATTTGAAGAGGATGGACGGAGATGCGTGGAGGGGGTTGATCGGTGGAGCCGTGAATGAGAATGGATGATGAGCGATGACGGGATGAAGAGCGAATAGAAAGAAGAATGCTGCCTGAATTCTTAGGAGTATCGAGTACGGGGGTATGAGAACGCAAGCAATGAGTAACGAGAGCGATGAAGTGAGAGCGACGAACTGAGAGCGATGAACTGAGAGCGACGGGAGCGAGGGATGTTGATTGGTCATTCGAGAACGGAGGTGGTTGCGACTCGCTCGTTCCCCATCGGTCGAATTCACGCGAGCTGGGACCGAATCGTCCTGTGGACGAGCGACGCGACGCACTGACCTCGTCGAATTCGTATCCGACAACTTTCGCCGCCTCGATTCTCGGCGCTCCACGTGTTGCTGCCATCCCTCGCGGCCTGGCAGTCAAAGAATGGTCTCTTGGTCTTGATACCAGGAGATAGAATCTAGGCGCCACGTAAAAGAATATTGATGTCAGGTGAGTTAGGGCGCGTCACCTCTGGCGTTCGAACGGGTCAATTCGAACAGCCACCGTACTGAAACGCTTTGTCCGTTCCTCAAAACGTCCTGTACCAGACCTAACCTACAGAACTTGGACACACGAACAGCTTATTTCCGCCTGATGTGAGACGCCCTTATTCTTGCAGTCTGAAGAAACAATGTACAGTCTAATCGACCTGTTTCGAACTTAGGGCTTTCACATAGTATGACGCCAGCATGGTAACCCTCAAAAGGGGCTTTTAAAAAATGTGGCGGGGGCGAACGCGAATGTGAGTGGCGAGATGAATAGCGCTCGTCACGCTAATTCGCGAGAGCTGTTTCTGAAAATATGGGTGGGGCGAACGAGTCCGAACATCCCAGCCCAATTCTGTCGACCGAACCACTATGCTCGGATCGACGAACGCCACTCCCGCGCGACCGCAGCGATCCGGTACAAGCACAATCACGAGTGCCAACTTGGTTGCACCAGCTGTTGACTTCAATAGGCAAGGTCCTCTTGTACTGTACAGTACTGAGCCGTGTACACTGTTCGACGGGGTTGCATCATAGGAAATTTCCAGCAATGAAATGCCAACGCAATTTGCCACATTTGTGTGCGTCCCGTCCGGTGACCTGTCAGCGGGATGGATTCCAATTGACGGGAAACCTCGCTCTCTTGGCGCACACACGCGTTGAAACCCTAGATTACTCATCACACGCCCAATACGAGTGCGACGCGAAGCGATTACTTTCACCACCACACAGTGACGACTGTGGCTGTACACTATACTTCTATAGGTACACTGTAGCCCTTCACCACCATCGAATGCCACGCGATCCGTCTCGTCTCGTCATTCGTCGCCTCGCCACCCATGGCACGCGTGACGCGCCGTGAATGCCAGCAGAGTGTGGTGGTGTGGATCGTCTTGTCAGTATACCGTGAACCAATCTATGAATCATTCTGTGTGAATCATTCTGCTACAGCAACGGTGGCTCTCCGCCGGAGCAGCATCTGCGACCGCACCGCACAAGCTCGGGGAAAAGCTCGGTCGCACAAGCGCAAGCGAAAGTATCGCTAGCTCTCCCCGCAGCAGCAGAGGCCGGCGTGAGTGACCGCGCAAGCTCGGGGGATAACATCGATCGCAAGCTCGGGGGGAAAGGCTCGATCGCGCAAGCGCAAGTACCGCTAGCTCTCCCCGCAGCAGCAGTGACTGTGACCGACCGCGCAAGCTTGCGGAAAAAAGCGCAGATCTCAAAATGGAACTGGAAATAGTACCATCGCCCCCCGTTCCACCAGCAATAGCATCCGTAGGGCTACGACTACTGTACTACTCCTGACGTTGCTGCTTCCTGAACCTCTTTTTCGCTGACTGGCACTCACTGCATCTCTGATTAACTACCGTTTTGGCCCAGTGGTCTAGGCCTGGGGGCGAGCCCAGTGGTGGTCTGGACTCTAGGGCGCGGGGTGACGTAGTAGAGTGGATAGGAAGTGCTTCACCGTGACAGTTGTGAGTAAAAGGCAGACTGCAGCCGCTGCTGCACGCAGCTACCCATCTTTTTCACTTCCCAGTTACTCACGCTCTTACTGCTGTGTTTGGTTCCAGGCCTCTTGAGAAAGCATTCTGTGTACTTCTAACAATGGCATGATGACCCATGCGATGGCATGATGACCCGTGCAATGGAATGATGACCCATGCGATGGCATGATGACCCGTGCGATGGCATGATGACCCGTGCGATGGCATGATGACCCGTGCGATGGCATGATGACCCATCCAATGGCATGACGACCCATGCCTCGCATTGGTTTGCACGTGCTTGACTTGCATGATCTGTCTCTGCATCCATGTCGCCGCTGCTGTTGTTGCTGTTGCTGCTGTTGCTGCTGCTGCTGCTGTTGCTGCTGTTGCTGGTGTTGCACGTGGCAGCATTCGATGCAGCTGGGGACGCCTTCGACGTTGGTTGCAGGTGCGTCAGTAACGGACAGGTGGGCTGCGAAGGCCTTAGAGAGCGGGAGAAGCGTTCGACGTTGGTTGCAGGTGCTGTGTCCATCACACCTCCCTCTCTCCTGCTCCTCTCCCTCCCTCTTTCCCCCGCATCCCATGCCATGCCATCCGTACCCAATTGCAACACCCATCATCCCATGCCATGCGTACTCCATCTCTCTCCTCCCGCCTCTTTGCCTGCCTCTCAGCCTCGTGCAATTAATCACCCCGCTCCACTCTCCATCACCCCTTTCCACTCTACATCACCCCTTTCCACTCTCCATCGCCCCTCTGCGTTCTCCCGTAGGCAGCGTGCATTCTTCGTGGCACTCCTTGCATTTGACACCCTCACCAATCGCACCCTCACCACCAACACCATCAGTGGCAGCAGTGGTAGCAGCAGCAGTAGTGGCAGCAGCAGCAGTAGTGCCAGCAGTCGCGGTGGCAGCAGCAGCACCGGTGGGAGCAGCAGTGAGGAAGAGGAAGAGGTGGAGAAGCGGTGGCGAGTTTTGAGGAGAACGGCGAGAGTGACGGAGGCGCCGGCATGGGATGATGCTGCTGACGGGTGGACTGACCTGCGACTGGCAGCTCAAGTCACGTACCGCCCCGCCTCCTCCTCCCACCAGGTGCTAGCTGCTTCGCTGAATCGTCCGGCTGAGTTTGGTGCTGCATTGAGGCAGTGCTTCGCCCAGAGAATTCACCTCTCTCCCACCCACCCACCTCTCTCTTTCCCCTCTGCCTGTGCCGCACTCAAACACCCTTCCCCTTTCCCTCTCCCCGCCCCCTTTCCACTTGTCCTATGGGCGCCCCCTGCTCTGCGGCTCCTTGTGCATGCGCCCTATGGGATCCATGCATCCCCAGGTGTGCTTCACAGCGCCCTTCCCCGGCCCCTACGTGCTCTCGCTGCATCTTCTCGTCACCAACGCCTGCCAGATGCGCACTGCTCTCAACAGAGTTTACAACCAAGGCTACCAAAAGTAGGTCCTACCTGCTGTGCTGTGGGGGGCGATGCACAGACAGCAGTGGCAGAGGCAGCAGTGGCAGAGGCAGCACGTGTGTGTGTGTGCATGCACAGATGCATATCTGCGTGTGAGCATGTGCATGTGCGCATGTGTGCATGTGCGCATGTGTGCATGTGCGCATGTGTGCATGTGTGCATGTGTGCATGTTTCCACTTTGATACCTCGGCTGATAGGACTATCTTCGTCTGCATGCATGCATACGCACACCACAACCCACACCTTCCTCTAACTCCCATGAGCCTCCTATAAACTCCCCAAGAATTTGCCGACAGTGTCTTGAAAGTCTCCCGTAAATTCACCATCAGTCCCCGCGCATACACCCCTCACAACGCCTGACCAACCCAATGCCTAACCTCATGTTTCCCTGGACCCCCGCTCGTGCATGACCCGCCGTCCCATCACTGCGCACCCATGCATGACCCCCCGTCCCATCACTGCGCACCCATGCATGACCCCCCGTCCCATCACTGCGCACCCATGCATGACCCCCCGTCCCATCACTGCGCACCCATGCATGACCCGCCGTCCCATCACTGCGCACCCATGCATGACCCCCCGTCCCATCACTGCGCACCCATGCATGACCCGCCGTCCCATCACTGCGCACCCATGCATGACCCCCCGTCCCATCACTGCGCACCCATGCATGACCCCCCGTCCCATCACTGCGCACCCATGCATGACCCCCCGTCCCATCACTGCGCACCCATGCATGACCCCCCGTCCCATCACTGCGCACCCATGCATGACCCGCCGTCCCATCACTGCGCACCCATGCATGACCCCCCGTCCCATCACTGCGCACCCATGCATGACCCGCCGTCCCATCACTGCGCACCCATGCATGACCCCCCGTCCCATCACTGCGCACCCATGCATGACCCCCCGTCCCATCACTGAGCACCCATGCATGACCCCCCGTCCCATCACTGCGCACCCATGCATGACCCCCCGTCCCATCACTGCGCACCCATGCATGACCCCCCGTCCCATCACTGCGCACCCATGCATGCATGACCCGCCGTCCCATCACTGCGCACCCATGCATGACCCGCCGTCCCATCACTGCGCACCCATGCATGACCCGCCGTCCCATCACTGCGCACCCATGCATGACCCGCCGTCCCATCACTGCGCACCCATGCAGCTATCAAGCCGTGGCCCTTCGCAAGCTGCAGGTCTCCAGCCACCAACCGTATGATGGCTCCCCAGACGCGCTCAGGTGAGCGTGATGGCTCCTTCCGCAAAAAAACAGACTGCCTTTGCGAACAGGCCTCCAGGCCCCCGCACTACTTCCCAGACACGCTTAGGTAAGCGTGATGGCTCGTCTCATTAATGAGCAAGAAGGTGGAGTGAGCAACGAGCTCCTCAGAGTAGAGTAGACTGGGGAGGAGAATGAAGACCAAGTCGCCTGTAGATAGCCTGTCAGCATCTTGTGGACATGCAGACAGAGTGCCAAATGGTCAAAACCAAAGGACAACTAAATCAATACCAAGATTACCTTTATCAAGACCATACCCCCCCTTCCTTCCACCAATCAGTCATCTCCGGAATGTGCAGGGAGAGCCTCCCCTGGTGCACGCCTGCCCTGCTGCGCTCGTCTGGCAACGAGGGCTACTGGAAGGACCAGCAGTGGCGCCCCCACGCGTGCCGCCTCAAAACCGTAGAGCCGGGCGATGCCCTGCATTGCTTCCACCGCAATCAACGCATTCTGTTCATGGGTAGAGAGGGATGCTCATGGGTAGAGAGGGATGCTCATGGGTAGAGAGGGATGCTCATGGGTAGAGAGGGATGCTCATGGGTAGAGAGGGATGCTCATGGGTAGAGAGGGATGCTCATGGGTAGGGGAGGGTGCTCATGGGTAGGGGAGGGTGCTCATGGGTAGCGGAGGGTGCTCATGGGTAGGGGGGCTGTGAATGAGGGCTACTGGATGAAGCAGCCGTAGAGCCGGCCGATGCCCTCCAGTGCTTGCACCCCAAGCAGCGCATTCTGCTCATAGGTACCCACCAGTGGCGCCCACACGCAAGGCCGTAGAGCTGGGCGATGCCCTCCAGTGCTTGCACCCCAAGCAGCGCATTCTGCTCATAGGTACCCACCAGTGGCGCCCACACGCAAGGCCGTAGAGCCGGCCGATGCCCTCCAGTGCTTGCACCCCAAGCAGCGCATTCTGCTCATAGGTACCCACCAGTGGCGCCCACACGCAAGGCCGTAGAGCCGGCCGATGCCCTCCAGTGCTTGCACCCCAAGCAGCGCATTCTGCTCATAGGTACCCACCAGTGGCGCCCACACGCAAGGCCGTAGAGCCGGCCGATGCCCTCCAGTGCTTGCACCCCAAGCAGCGCATTCTGCTCATAGGTACCCACCAGTGGCGCCCACACGCAAGGCCGTAGAGCTGGGCGATGCCCTCCAGTGCTTGCACCCCAAGCAGCGCATTCTGCTCATAGGTACCCACCAGTGGCGCCCACACGCAAGGCCGTAGAGCCGGCCGATGCCCTCCAGTGCTTGCACCCCAAGCAGCGCATTCTGCTCATAGGTACCCACCAGTGGCGCCCACACGCAAGGCCGTAGAGCCGGCCGATGCCCTCCAGTGCTTGCACCCCAAGCAGCGCATTCTGCTCATAGGTACCCACCAGTGGCGCCCACACGCAAGGCCGTAGAGCCGGCCGATGCCCTCCAGTGCTTGCACCCCAAGCAGCGCATTCTGCTCATAGGTACCCACCAGTGGCGCCCACACGCAAGGCCGTAGAGCCGGCCGATGCCCTCCAGTGCTTGCACCGCACGCAGCGGATTATGCACATGGGTGGGTGGGGGTGGGTGCTGATGGGTGGGTAGGGCATGCTGTTCACGGGTACGTGGGTGCTGTTGATGGGTAGGGGGTGCTCGTGGGTGTGCCAAGTGCTGCTGGTGGGTATGCCAAGTGCTGCTGGTGGGTATGCCAAGTGCTGCTGGTGGGTATGCCATGTGGTGCCTATTCTCTGCTTGAACCCCTCCTTTGTCACACCCTCCTTCACCCCCTCCCTCCGCACCTGTCGTCTGTGCATGCGCGTACAGCATTCGACTCAGAGACCCGCTTTTTCGTCGGCTTCCTCCCCATGTAATGCCATGTGGTGCCTGTGTTGTTCCGCTTGAATCCCCTCCTTTGGCACCCCCTGCTTAGTCACCCCCTCCTTTGTCACCCCCTCCACTGTCACACCTTCCTACGGCAGGTGACTCAGAGATCCGCTTTTTTGCCGGTTTCCTCCTGGACCTCCTGCCCGCACTCTCACGTGCGGCCTTTGTGGACTCTGAGAAGGCCGACATGAAGGCAAGCAACCACCGTGCCTTGCTGCCTCCTCGTCCTCTTCCTGGTCTTCTTCCTGGTCTTCTTCCTGGACTTCCTGCCCGCACTCTCACACGCGGCCTTTGTGGACTCTGCCTTGTACTGCCTTGTACTGCCTTGTACTGCCTTGTACTGCCTTGTACTCACTTGTACTGCCTTGTACTCACTTGTACTGCCTTGTACTCACTTGTACTGCCTTGTACTCACTTGTACTGCCTTGTACTCACTTGTACTGCCTTGTACTCACTTGTACTGCCTTGTACTCACTTGTACTGTCTTATATAGTCTTATACAGTCTCATACTATCTCATACTACCGCATACTGTCTCATACTGTCTTGTACGGTCTTGTACTGTCCATTTCGTCCCCTGTCTCTTTTCATGCGCGCCTTTGTGCGCCCAGCCCACCCCATTTCACTCTTCAAACCAACCTACGTGGCATCTGTCTGCCTGTCTGCCTGTGGTGCGCCTGTATCTGCCTGTCTGCCTCTGGTGTGGCCGTGTCTGCCTGTCTGCCCCTGTGTGACCGTGTCTGCCTGTCTGCCCCTGTGTGACCGTGTCTGCCTGTCTGCCCCTGTGTGGCCGTGTCTGCCTGTCTGCCCCTGTGTGGCCGTGTCTGCCTGTCTGCCCTTGGTGTGACCGTGTCTGCCCGTCTGCCCCTGGTGTGGCCGTGTCTGCCTGTCTGCCCCTGTGTGGCCGCGTCTGCCTGTCTGCCCCTGGTGCTTCCATATCTGCCCCCAACAGGGCGTGCACGGCTTCTATGCCACGCCTGAAAAGCCCCTTCGTTGACAGCGGGGGGAGTGGATTTGACCATGGTCTATGTCTCATACTGCCTGTGTCTGCCTGTCTGCCCCTGGTGCTTCCATATCTGCCCCCAACAGGGCGTGCATGGCTTCTATGCGACTCACGAAAAGGGGTTAAGCCCCTTCAATGGAAGCGTGGGGAGTGGAGTCGACCAGCTCTTGCGGACGCGGGTGCGCAAAGCCTATATGGGGGACACCATCTTCTATGGCTCGCTCTACAACGGCTTTATACACGTGAGGTGAGCCACGGACTCCTTATAGCGGGCAAATTATGTGCAGATGCCCGTTGCAAAAGAGATTCTTCTTTGAGTCAATTTTTGAGGCGCCTCAGATGTGATCCCTTGTAGCGGTGTCCCCTTGAGATTGTTGCACAGATGCATGCATGCCTCCTGCACCATGCCTCCTGCACCATGCCTCCTGCACCATGCCTCCTGCACCATGCCAACAGCCGCGCTCTCTTCTTCTCCTGTCCCATTCCAGGTCTTTGGTTTCACTCCCAATGAGCACTGCACCTTCCGTTGCCCCTCCCAGATTCAACGTCACCAGGGGCGGCAGGGCTTTTGTGTTCAGTCTCACATACGTGACACAGCTAGCTTTTGAGTTGACTCGACGTGACTGCAGGGCCTTTGTGTTCAATCTCACGTACGTGGCACAGAAGGGGGCGATACAGGAGGTGCTGCCAGCGTTGATGTTCAACACAAGTCCGTTCCTGTCTCCCCTCCCAGGTTAAACGTCACCAGGGGCGGCAGATCCTATGTGTTCAGCATGACATACGTGACACAGGTGGGGGCGAGTCGAGACGTGATGCCAGCGTGGATGTTCAACACAAGTCTCCTGGGAGAGGAGGTGCTGAGCCGCCCAGACTCGCCCTTCCAGCTCGTCGCCTACAGCTCCTTCCTGCATGACCTCACCACACTGAACTCAACACTGGACTACAGAAGAGCGGCAAGTGCGTGCATGGAGCCAAAACACACATGCGTGGAGGCAGTTTTGAGGCGCCTCAGAAGTCGCCAAAACACACATGCATGGAGGCAGTGCCGGCTGTGCTTTTGCTCTAGCAACGCGCGTGCCTGTGCTATAGCAACGCGAGTGCCTGTGCTAGCAACGCGCATGCTTGTGCTATAGCAACGCGCGTGCTTGTGCTATAGCAACGCGCGTGCCTGTGCTATAGCAACGTGCGTGCTTGTGCTATAGCAACGCGCGTGCGTCCAGGAAACCTCCATTCTGGTTTCAGTTTCTTGTGTGCTTGCCTTTTCATGTTACAATGCTCTTTGCAATCCTCCTCGTTCCACAGTCGTACGCCCTCTCTCGTTCTCGCACCTGACTGCTGTCTCATGTACCCATGCATGCTGCCTGCCAAATGTTTCTCTCCTTGTTTCTCATGTGCCGTGTTGCTCCCCGTGCCACTCCCAGGCTCAAACCTTCTGCTTAACATACGCCGGCACGTGCAGAACGCGCGGCTCGTGACTTTAGAGGCGCCTCTCATGTGCTCTGTGCTGTGCTTCCCATGTTCCTCTCCTTGCCCCCTCAGCCTCGAACCTGCTGCCCAACATACGGCAACACGTGCAGGACCCGAGGCGAGTGACCTTCTTTGGCCCGTGGGCAGCAAGAGAGGACATCAAGCCGCGCTGGCTGATCAATCGAAGCGACAACGTGCGCGGCATGGCCTTCGAGGAGGAAGCTTCCAGGTGGGTGGTGCTTCAGGAGATGGTGCTTTAGCAGCCTGTCGCTCACCTCATGTCACACTCACGTCGCTTAGAATTGAACCGTGTTGAACCACAATCTCCACACGATTCCGAGAGCAAAGATTTACAAGGGGGTGGCGATGCCAGCTTGCATCAATAACATCAATAAATAATTTCCTTCTGTATTCATTGATTGTGTGTGGTGGTACACAGCAGCAAGTCTTTTCATGGACTGAATGCCTGAACGCCCTTGAAATGAACTCCTTGCTTTCTGCTGTGATTTGCTACCCTCTTATTGGCGGTGCTCTATGCCTTTCAGGCTGCTGCCACAAGAAGGGTTTGAGAGATTTGTGCCAATGACTCCCGTGACGCTTCCTCGTCCTGACTTGTCACCTGACAGCACGCATTACTCGTGGATCGTTACACTCGCCATGCTGGATATTTGGTTCACCACTGCTTGCTTAGAAACATGATAGTTATTGTTGAAGTCCCTGTACCATATATTGCAGGTATACACCCTCAGGCACTGTCTTGAAATGCTATAGAGACAGGTACAATACACAGCGCCATTACGGACATACACACCGAGCCCCGTATTGCTCTCTCGATTGGTCACACATGAAAAGATCGCTAAGTTGAAACTCGGAAAGCGAGTGCACAGATTCAGCCCAGGGGGAGTTAGCTTCCGTCAATTTTGTACGTAGTGAGAATAACAACTACCACTGACCAAAGGCCGCAACTCAATAAAAACTGTTCTTAATTCTGCGTTTCCAATTCGCTCTAAATGATGATTCAATGTGAGTGTTTCTTCCATGCATCATACAGAAGCATAGGCCAGCGTGAAAAGGGCGTTGCGGAAGGAGGAACCGATTTCGTCAGAACTCGTATCCTCAAAACACCCGTCGCAAAACAGATATCTTTCTCGCCTCACTACAGTTCGCACCCTATTCGTTATCCCGCGGGTCGCGTGGTGTGGTGTGTCAGAGCCCAGTGTGTCAGAGCCCGTTCTCCTTGAAACTAGAAGGATTGGGAGCCGGCACGCGATGCCAGGTTACGCTATGTCTGTCGTGTGAACCAATAAATCAGCGAGATCTGGTACTGTACCACTTGCTTTTCCCGCCTGCCGGAGCCGGCAGCAAAGCCTGCCGCGCGAAAGCATCGCGGAGAAAGATCTCGGATCGGAATGGATGTTGAAAAGACTGCGTTTCCTAGTGCGATCACGACTACTCGAATAATTACTTCGTCTGAGAACAGGTCGAGGCACTTGGTCCTAATATGACATTATTTCGAGAAATGGGAGGGGGCGTGGCATCAGGAAAGACGAATCGAGTGGAGCAGCGGCGCGCGGGAGCTCGACTATCAGTCGCCGCTGTGCTGCTGCTCGGCGCGCTGCTGTCCGTCTACCTGGCCGTTCACGCCGTGCTCGCTTATTCGGCTCGTTCTGACCTAGCAGCGCGTGAGTGAAGCAGGCGAACGTGCAACGGACTTTAGTTGCAATTTCCACTGCTTTGCTATAGTGAAAATATTACCTATTTTTTGCTCAAGTTTTTTCATTTCCTTTTAAGCGGTTCGATGTTGTGCGTTGTAGAGCGGTATGATTGTCCCGCCGCTTTGAACCGCCACATACCATCCTGAACAGTGATTTATGAGCTGTACACTCACTATGCATGACACGCCCTGAGGTGTACTCATGTCCTTAAAAACCCCTCGTTGGAAAGGGGACAGTGTATTGGAATGCGTGGGCATTGTCCCTGCTTACACGCTTTCAAAGTGTAGATTCTCTCCCGCCCTTTTCTCGACGTGGTGTTACAGTGTTACCAGTCGCGAACTTGTTTCATGCGGAGGATGGAGGGGGGCGCCGTGACTCTGTAACGCGGTTGGTGCAGAATGAGGCAGCAAAAGAGCCGGCAGACACGCGGGCAGGAGAGGAAGCAACGCGTGGGGAGGAGGAGGGGGCGGAGCGGGAATGCGGGGTGGAGGAGCAGCGGAGGGCGGGGGAAGGGTGGGACGTCATGACGGCAACGAGGTTCGGGCGAGTGAAGGTGGACTGGGGAGGCGCGGGGAGGGCTTTTGTCAACCAGCGCACGTGCTTCTCTGTGACTGGTGGGTATTGAGGCGAGTGGGGGTGCGGGGGGCCTCAAAAGGCGAGTGAAGGTGGACTGGGCGGGGGCGGGCGCCGGGCCGGGCTCTTGCCAACCAGCGCACGTGCTTCTCTGTGACTGGTGGGTATTGAGGCGAGTGGGGGTGGAGGGGGCCTCAAAAGGCGAGTGAAGGTGGAGGGGGCGGGGGCGGAGAGGGCTCTCGTCAACCAGCGCACGTGCTTCTCTGTTACTGGTGGGCCTGGGAGATGGGGGCGGGGATTGGTCTGGGAGATTGGGGCGGGGATTGGTCTGGGAGATGGGGGCGGGGATTGGTCTGGGAGATGGGGGCGGGGATTGGTCTGGGAGATGGGGGCGGGGATTGGTCTGGGAGATGGGGGCGGGGATTGGTCTGGGAGATGGGGGCGGGGATTGGTCTGGGAGATGGGAGCGGGGATTGGTCTGGGAGATGGGGGCGGGGATTGGTCTGGGAGATGGGGGCGGGGATTGGTCTGGGAGATGGGGGCGGGGATTGGTCTGGGAGATGGGGGCGGGGATTGGTCTGGGAGATGGGAGCGGGGATTGGTCTGGGAGATGGGAGCGGGGATTGGTCTGGGAGATGGGGGCGGGGATTGGTCTGGGAGATGGGGGCGGGGATTGGTCTGGGAGATGGGGGCGGGGATTGGTCTGGGAGATGGGGGCGGGGATTGGTCTGGGAGATGGGGGCGGGGATTGGTCTGGGAGATGGGGGTGGGGATTGGTCTGGGAGATGGGGGCGGGGATTGGTCTGGGAGATGGGGGCGGGGATTGGTCTGGGAGATGGGGGCGGGGATTGGTCTGGGAGATGGGGGCGGGGATTGGTCTGGGAGATGGGAGCGGGGATTGGTCTGGGAGATGGGGGCGGGGATTGGTCTGGGAGATGGGGGCGGGGATTGGTCTGGGAGATGGGGGCGGGGATTGGTCTGGGAGATGGGAGCGGGGATTGGTCTGGGAGATGGGGGCGGGGATTGGTCTGGGAGATGGGAGCGGGGATTGGTTTGGGAGATGGGAGCGGGGATTGGTCTGGGAAATGGGAGCGGGGATTGGTCTGGGAGATGGGGGCGGGGATTGGTCTGGAAGATGGGGGCGGGGATTGGTCTGGGAGATGGGAGCGGGGATTGGTCTGGGAGATGGGAGCGGGGAAGGGACTGGGAGATGGGAGCGGGGAAGGGACTGGGAGATGGGAGCGGGGAAGGGACTGGGAGATGGGAGCGGGGAAGGGACTGGGAGATGGGAGCGGGGAAGGGACTGGGAGATGGGAGCGGGGAAGGGACTGGGAGATGGGAGCGGGGAAGGGACTGGGAGACGCTTATGGTCTGCACTTCATATCCAATGGACCCCACTTACCCTTCTTTCGCACTTCCACGCTGCTCTTGCTTTTTCTCCTATGCATCCTTATTAGCTTCCTGAGGAACCCCTGTGTGTGTTTCTAATAATGATCCCTGCCCTGCTTTGCTGTGCTCGTGCTTGCCTTGCATGGTCTGTCTCTGCATATTGTCGCTGCTGCCCGCCGCCGTTGCACGTGGCAGCATTCGATAAAGCTGGGGCTGCGTTCGACGTTGGTTGCAGGTGCGTCAGTAACGGACAGGTGGGCTGCGGAGTCCTTAGAGATTAGAGAGATTAGCCAGCCTAGCCAGCCTAGCCAGAATAGGGAGCTGGGGACGCGTCACGCGTTCAACGTTGGTTGCAGGTGCTGTGTCCGTCGCACCTCCCTCTTTAACGGTCCATGTATGATTTATGCCTTTAGGTGCTGTGTCCATCACACACACACGCACACCTCCCTCTCTCCTCCTCCTTTCCCTCCTTCTTTCCTCCTCATGCCATACCATCCTTGCCCATGCACTCCTTCCGCCCCCTCTCTGTACTTACCTCCTCAGCCTCGTGCAATCAAGCGCCCCTCTCCACCACTCTCCATCACCCCTCTCCACTCTCAATCACCCCTCTCCACTCTCAGTCAAACCTCTCCACTCTCGATCACACCTCTCCACTCTCGATCACACCTCTCCGCTCTCGATCACCCCTCTCCACTCCATCGCCCCCTTTCGGCTGCCAGGCAGCGGGCGTTCTTCGTGGCACTCCTCGCATTTGACACCCTCACCAACCGCTCCCTCACCACCAACACCATCAGCGGCAGCAGCAGCAGTGCC